CTGCTGCAGGTCACAGGGACGTGGCTTTGATCTTCGGCTCGTCCTTCTCCTGCGCAGGGTTGTCGTACGAGGCCTTCTCCACCCTGCCAAGACAGGGGACATCAGCGGGCGCGGGCGCTCGGGCGTCCCCAGCCCCTGCCCTGGGCACCCACCCCACCCCCGGGCGGCCACCGCGTGTCCCCGCCACCAGGCTGAGCCCCGGGGGGACCCGGCTCTGTCCCCACATCCCGGGGACCCGCCGGGGCAAGGGTGGCACAGGTGGGGAGGGCACGGGGGGGCCGGCGCTACCTGTGGATTTCCTGGGTGTCCTGGGACTGGTCGCGCTTCCTATGGGAGAGAGGGGGGTGAGCGGGGCCGGGAGCAGCCCCGTGCCCAGCCCGCTGCCCCCGTGCGCGGCGGCYGTACAGCCGGACCGCGGACCCCGGCCCACGGACCCACCTGCGCGCCCGGATCTGCCAGAGCCGGTTGGCCAGCAGCAGCACGAAGATGATGAAGAGGAAGACGACGACGGCCGTGAGGCCGATGAGCCAGGGCTGCAGCTCCTTGGAGCCGGTGGCTGCAAGGCAGGGCGCCGGGGATGGGGTTGGGGACAGGGAYGGGTCGAGGGGAGCCGTCCTGCGGGGGACGGGAGCCCTCGGCCCCAGGGACACGGGGGACACCGGGGACACTGGTGGCCACCAGCTCCTGTGCTGTTCATCAGGTGCCAGAGCCACCACCGCTGCTGCCACTGCTGTCCCCTGTCCCTGCGGGGCCAGGGGCTGTCACAGGGGCCTGTCTGGCATAGGATGCCCCAAACCCTGCTGATCTGACCCCAAAATGCTCATTCCGGTGCTGCCCCATGGGCACAGGGACGGGCTGGTCCTCCTGGGATCATCTCCATGGGGCYGGATAGGCCGATGCCCTGGGTTGGGGACCCGCGGGGCGCCCGGGGGCACCTACCTTGCTGTCCCCGCGCGGCGGCCACGAGGCCGAGCAGCAGCACGAGGGGCAGCGGCGCCGCGGCGGGCGCCGGGCGCTGCATGTCGGGCTGCTCCGGGCTCGCGGCGAGGACGGGCGGCGGGCACGGCTGGACCCTGGACCCCGAGGCGGGTCCGCTCTCGCCGCACGCGGCACCGCGGGGCCAACGGGCGCTTTTATTGGGCTCAGGAGGGCAAGAGCCGCCGGGTGCCACCGAGTGCCACCGAGTGCCACCGAGCGCCATGGCAACGGGGCTCCCGGCACCAGGGGGGTGGCAGCTGTTCCCGTGGGCTCCCCCCTCCCCGGTACCACGGGCTGCCCTGGCTCCTTTGGGGAGGGGGACGCGGCCACCAGGAGATGCCCCCAGCTTGGGAGCAGCCCCGTTTGGGGCCAGAACAGATGGATTTGGGGGCGCCTCCTTTTTTCCGCCTGGAAATGCAGCTGTTGGGCTCCCATTGGCCCAAAAATCCCATTGGATTTGCTGCTGCCGGGGCTCAGGGCTGTTCTGCAGCTCAGCGGCAGCTCACACGTCCCCAGCCCCAGCCTTGGGGACTGAGGTGGGCGATGGGGGTCACGGGGACCTGTCACCACCTGCGGTGGGCAGCAGGTGGGCAGAGGGAGGGATGGATGGATGGATGGATGGATGGATGGATGGATGGATGGATGGATGAGAGAAGGGATGGGTGGACAAATGGGCAGAGGGAGGGAGAGATGAATGGAGACGGGGAGCGTCCACCCTGTCCTGGTCCCAGACCCTGGCAGGGCAATGGGGCCCCCCCGAGAGCGTCACCCAGTGGGTGCCCTGCCCGTGCCCTGCCGGGCAGCGAGAGGTGCCCATAAGGAGCTGAACACGCGCGGCGCTACCGCGAGGCGCTGGCGGGCGCGTGGGAGCCGGTGGCTCCGTGCCAGGCCGGGAGGCTGCGGAGCCGGCGGCAGCACCGAGCCCGCGGGCGCACGCGGGCGCCGGCACGTACGTGTGTGCGCCGGCGGGCGGGTGTGCACGCGCGTCATGCRTGCCATGTGCATGGCCGTGCGCGCCCACGCGCGTGTGGGCGTCCATGTGCTCCCGTGCCCGCTCCCACGTGCGCTCCCGTGCTCGCGTGGACAAGCTGGGGTTGCGCATSGCACCCACGGCGTTGGCGTGCGCATGTCCACGTGTGCACAGCTGCACACACGTGTGTGCTCACACGTGTGAGCCAGCGACAGCGGTGCCCAGCGAGCCGGGACACACCGGGACCTCATCCCACAGGGATCAGGGATCACCAGGGACCTCATCCCACAGGGACTGGGGATCATTGGGGGCCGCATCCCGCAGGGCCGGGATCGCCTCGGCGCAGGGCACGGCACGCGCGGCTCCCCGCGGAGATGCCCCGGTCCCGCGCGGCTGCTCTCACGGCACCGGGCGCGGGGCGCAGCCGAGTGCTTTATTGACGGGGTGCGGCCGGGAGCCACCGCGGCTCGGTGCCAGCCGGGACACGCGGGACGCGGCACGCGGGACCCGTGTCGGGGACGGGCCCGCGCTAGAAGAGCCTCTTCTTGCGGGGGTCGGCGAAGGAGACGGAGCCGCGGGGGGTGGCGCAGGGCAGTGCCGGGGGGGCCTCCATGCCCGGCAGAGCCCCGGAGCCTTCGGCCTCGCGCGCCGCCCCGGCGCCCTCCTCCTCGGGCCACTCCAGCTCCAGGACGCTGCCGCCGTCGGCGGCCACCACGGCCTTCTCCTCCTCCGGCTTGGGCCCGAACGCCCAGTCTGTGCGGGCAGAGACGGGGCGCTGAGCGGGGGACGTCCCCGTCCCCGCATCTCCTGCCACCTCCCTGCAAGGGACCCCCCTGACAAACGGGCACCCACCAAAGTGGGGACCCCCCGAGAAACGGGCATCCTTCAAAGGGGGGACTGCCGGGCAAATGGGCACCCATCAGAGCAGGGATCTCCCAGGAAATGGGTGCCCATCAAAAGGGGGATCCCCTGAGAAACGGGCACCCATCAAAGCAGGGATCCCCTGAGAAATGGGCACCCATCAAAGCGGGGACCCCCCGAGAAACAGGCACCCATCAAAGGGGGGAATTCCCGGCAAACGGGCACCCATCAGAGCAGGGATCTCCCAGGAAATGGGTGCCCATCAAAAGGGGGATCCCCTGAGAAACGGGCACCCATCAAAGAGGGGACCCCTCAAGAAACAGGCACCCATCAAAGCGGGGACCCCCCAAGAAATGGGCATCCATCAAAGGAGAGACTGCCCGACAAACGGGCACCCATCAGAGCAAGGACGCCCCAGCAAACGGGTGCCTATCAAAGGGGGGACCCCCTAAGAAACAGGCACCCATCAAAGCGGAGGCTCCCTGAGAAACGGGTGCCCACCAAACAGGGGAGCCCCGATAAACGGGTGCCCTTCAGAGCGGGGCCCCCCTGCCACAAGGATCCCCCTAGCCCGGTGCCGCCGGCCGCTCACCGGCGAAGTCGTGCGCCAGGTCCTTGATGAGGTGGCCCACGATGGCGTAGGCGACGACGAGCACGAGCGCGGCGGCCAGCACCAGGTAGAGCACGTAGCGCGGCAGGCGCACGGCGTCCAGCGCCGGCGGCCGGTACTCCACGTAGAGCGGCCCGTCCTCGGCCGCCGGCGCCTGCAGGAGGTGCCGCCKTGCCGCCGCGTCGCCCGCGCGGGCCATGGCGGCATCGGGGCGCCGAGCCGGGCAGCGCCCCGGGATCCTCCGGAGCGGCCGGGCAAGGAGCTAATCCCGCTAATCCGAGCGGGCGCGGGGGGGTCCCAGTGTCCTTCCTGCCGGCCGCGCAAGGGGCCGGACCCCCCGCGCGGGGATGAGAGGATGCGGAGCCCTCGGAGCCCCCCCGGCTCTGCACAAATCCCCGGGCGCCCTGAGCAGATGGCGCGAAATCCGGGTCACCCTGTCAGCYGCGCCAAGGACGGCGGCACCCGCTGCGCCGGCGTCCACGGGCAGCCTCCTGCAGAGCCCATGGAGCTGCTCGGGCTCTGGAGCCCATGGCGATGGGCGCAGCACCCCAGGGTGGCACCACGTGCCCAGCATCGCCCCTTGGGTGCCCTCGGGCCTGGGGCTCTGGAGGCYGCAGGGACGGAGCAGCCTCCAAGGGTCAGTGCTGATGCCACCAGGACGAGGYGCCCTGGGCCACCCCTGCCCAAATGACCTTGGGGAACAAGGGTGACAGCATCKGCCCCGGGACCGGGATCCCCGGAGAGGGATCCCTGGGCTCCCGGTGCTGGGCAGGGGCCAAGGTCAGTCCCCATATACAGCCCTGCTCTGCAGCACTGGGGCTCCCCAAACCAGACTGTGGCCACAAAAACACCTGTTTTGTTCCAATTTGGGCCCAAAGCAGCTTGGAGGGATGTCACAGTGCTGGGAGCCAGGAGCAGCCCCCCATGCTTGGGCACCCACATCAGGGCGCTTGCAGCGGGGGGGACACTCACTAAAATCCCTGCGTTTCCTGCAAGCCCCTTCCGTGAGATCCAGGGTGAGACCTGGGACAGGGGTGTGGAGAGGCCTCGTCCCGGTGCCACGGGGGACTCCCCGGTGCCCACGGAGCCCAGGGCGAAATCACAGCTCGACTGCGGTGGCAGCGCACGAGGACAGGGCTTTACTAYGGGCAGCGCCGCCGGCGCAGGAGAAGCACCGGGAGAGGCCCTGGAGAAGCACCGGGAGCTGCGGGCGGCTCTGCCGCCCCCGTGGCCCTGCTCCCGGAGCGGCTCCCGCGCAAGGACCAGAGGGTCGATGCCAGCGGGCCCCGCACGGGCAGGAGCAGCCGAGGTGGCCGTGGTGCTCCCGTGGGAGCCGCCTCCGGGAGCCCCTCGCGGGCACCGCGGAGCTGCAGCCGCCACGAGCGACGGCGCGAGGCCAACCCGGCGCCGGGCAGGGCTCCCGCGAGGCGAGCGGAGCCTTTCGGCCCCGGTGTACCCGGGAGAGCCCACGCGGGAGATGGGGGGACACGGGGGCACAAGGAGTCACTCAGCCTGGATCGGGAGGAGCAGACGGGCTGTAATGTCGGCAGGGCGCGAAAGCCGCTTCCCGGTGGCCGGCGCGGAGCCGGCTCCGCGGCCCCGGAGCGGGCAGGCGCGGGGCTCAGGCGGACGCCTGCAGCTTGCAGAGCCCRTCGGCGTACTGGAGCTGCGAGCCCCTCTCGTAGTGGTACATGTCGAGCGCCACCTCGCAGCTCTCGCGCACGACGCGCTCGGCGTCGCCGGCGCAGGCGCGCAGCGCCTCCAGGCAGCCGTCGCGCGCGATGGAGCCCAGCGCCTCGGCGCACTCGTGCCGCACCATGGGGCTCTCGGCGCGGCTGCGCAGCGCCGCCGTCAGCGCCGGCACGCTCGCCTCGTGCCGCAGCTGCCCCAGCACGTAGCCGATCTCGTGGCGGAAGAGGGCACTGCCGCAGCGCAGGCCTGCGGGCGGGAGGAGGGGACGGTGACACCGCGGCCCCCGGGGACGCCCACAGTCCCCCAGGGACACCCAGAGCCCCCTGGGGACACCCAGAGCCCCCTGGGGACACCCAGAGCTCTCAGGGGACACCCAGAGCCCCCTGGGGACACCCAGAGCCCCCCGGGGACACCGAGAGCCCCCCGGGGACACCCACAGCCCCCTGAGGACACCCAGAGCTCTCAGGGACACCCACAGCCCCCAGGGACACCCAGAGCCCCCTGGGGACACCCACAGCCCCCCGGGGACACCCAGAGCTCCCAGGGACACCCAGAGCCCCCTGGGGACACCCAGAGCTCCCTGGGGACACCCAGAGCTCCCCGGGGATACCCACAGTGCTCAGAGACACCCAGAGCTCCCAGGGACACCCACAGCCCCCTGAGGACACCCAGAGCTCCCAGGGACACCCAGAGCCCCGGGAACACACAGAGCTCCCAGGGACACCCACAGCCCCCCAGGGACACCCAGAGCTCCCAGGGGACACCCAGAGCCCCCGGGGGACACCCAAGAGCTCCCAGGGATGCCGAGCGGAGCCTCCCCACCCGAGTGGTCTCAGCCGGAGGGACTTCACTGCCAATCAGCGGGACAGTCCCAGAGGGTCACCAGGGACTTGGGGACGTTGCCCCCTCACCACCCACGTCCCAGCCAGACACCCCAACCCCGCAGGGTCCAGCAGCCCCCGTCACCTGCAGCGGGTGCTCTGTGGCACAGACTAGGTGACAAGTCCCCACTAGGACAGGTGACAACCCTCCCGTGCCCATGGTGGATCCCATGGGCCACGTCCTAGGAGCTTAAGGCCGAGCCTGGCAGCGGAGCCCTTGGTGCCACAGAGAAACCCCTGCRGCATCAAGAGGCCCTGGCACAAACCCACAACTCCCACTGGCAAATCCACCCCTGACAGGATGGCCCAGAGCCTCCCCCACCAGGAGCCATGGGAAAAAGCCTGGGAATGGGCGCTGTGAAACAYGGGAAAGGATGGGAGACACCCAAGATCCCTGAGCTTCCCAAGAAAGCGTTCCAGGGCGCACCGAGCCTCCTGGGGCGGCTCCGCGAGGAAGCGCCCGAGCCCGYGGCTCCGGATGCGGGAAGAGCCGGCGGCGGCCGCGGGCTGCCCTTACCGTCCGCGAGCGCCAGCGCCGCGTCGCGGCCCCCGACGTTGCGCAGCGCAAACATGGCCCGGTAGCGCTCGAAGAGCGGCCGCGACTCGTCCAGGAGGGTCTCGCGGAGCTTGGCCACGTCCGTCTCCTCGGCCGGCGGGGCGGGATCCACCGAGAGGTAGGGGCTGGCGCCGGGATCCTCGCCGTGCTCCTGCAGCCACTCCAGCCGCCGCACCGCCAGCTGACAGGTCTCGGCCACCTGGGGACGGCCCCGGGACGGGCTCCGTGACGGGGAACGTGACGGGGCTGGATGGCCCGTCCGGCTGTCGCCTCCCCTCCTTGTCACCCAGCCCCACGCAGGACATTCCCGGCTGCAGGACACGACGCTGGCGCCCAGCGCGGATGCTGCTCCGCACCGACCACCCCCAGGAATGAATCCCACCSGATACCAGTCCCCAGGGAGCCTCACCTCAACCACGGGATCTTCCGAATAGCGCTTCAGGACGTCCAGCACCTCAGGAGTCCCAATAGCACCCAAGGCTTCACCTGAAAGAAGGACATTAGGACATGATGACGGTATCTAAGGAGATGGGAGCCCACTCCCACCGACAGCTCCCGGGACCTGCTCCGGCTGGAACTCGGAAGCRGTGACGCGGCCCTGACCAGGACAGCTCCTCCATGGCCCGGCCACGGCGCACAGCGGGAGCGGCAGGGCTCGCTCAGCCGGTCCGGCCAGGGCCTCCTTACGCCCGTTAGGGTTTTCCAACCACAACGCTCCGCAGGACACAGCCTCTACTTCCAGGCGGCTCCGCGCTCCCTCCCAGGCCCCGCGCGGCGGCGGGGAACCACGGCCGTCCTGCTGGGTGCCGCTCGGAGGGCGCCCACGTACCGGCCTCGTGCCTGACCATGGGCTCCTGGCGCGGGTCCTGCAGCACGCGCAGCAGCGCGGGGATGGCCGCGGCGTCCCGCATCTGGCCCAGGCAGTAGGCGAGCTCGTGCTTGAGCAGCGCGGAGCTGTCGCCGAAGCCGCGGCTGATGCAGCGCACGGCGGCGCGGCCGCCCACGTTGCGCAGCGTGAAGAGGGCGCGGAAGCGGGCGGGCAGCGGCTGCGCCGCGTCCAGCAGCGTGCGCCCCACCGCCTCCACCTCCTGCTCCGTCACCATGCCGGCGGCCGCCGCGCTCCCGTGCGGGAACCTCCCCCGGTCGTGGGAATCTCCTCCGGTCGTGGGAATCAACTCTGGTCGCCGGGACCTCCTCCGGTCACGCTCTGCGGCCACCTGTGYCAAGGGAAGAGGGTCACAGGAGCCCACGGAGGGCCCGGGGCGCAGCCGGGGAGTGTCCCCAGGATGGGGACACGGGATGAGCCCCCGCACGGCCCCGGCCCCTCCGGGGGAGCCGCCGGACAGGGAGCCGGGGACCCCCCTCCCGGGCGGGGCGGGTGGACGGAGCCACCCCCGGGACGGGGACCGGGAGGGAGCCGAGCCCGGACAGGCCCAGGTAGGTCCCGCGGGCCCGGGCCCGTCTCAACCGGAGCCCAAAGGCTCCCAGCACCGGGCCGGGCTGAACGGGACCAGGCCCCTTCCAGGCGGCCCGGCCAGAATGGACCGAGCAGCATCCCCGGACGGGGCTGGACGGGGGGAACCGGGAACCTCGGGCCCGGCGAACCGGATCGCCCGAGAGCGGACGCGGACCGGATCGGATCGGATCGGATCGGATCGGACTGGACCGGACCGGACCGGACCGGACCGGACCGGCGAACCCGAGCCCAGGCCTAGGCCCAGGCCCGAGCCCAGCCCCGGCTCCAGCCGCACTCACCGGGCGCCGCCATCGCCGCCGCGGCCACGTGACCGCGCCGGCCGGCCCGAACCACCCTGCTTCCGGGGGGCCGCCGAGTGGGCGGGGCCCGCGCTGGGCCCCGCCCCCTGCGCCGCCGCAGAGGCGGGGCCCCGTGGCGCACGCGCAGTGCCCCCTCTATTGCGCATGCGCAGTAGTGCCACACCCCCCCGTGGCGCATGCGCAGTGGCGCAGCGCGCCCCCCGTGGCGTATGCGCAGTGGTGCAGCGCGCCCCCCGTGGCGTATGCGCAGTGGCGGCCCGGCGCCCGTCGCGCATGCGCAGTGGTGCCTCTGCCCGCCCGTGGCGCATGCGCAGTGGCGGCGCGGCCCAGGCCGACGGGCTGCGTTGGTGATATCGCCCCAAGCTGCTCCCCCGTGGGTGCCCTGTCACCCCCCAAGTTGTTCTGCTTCCCAACGGGCTGCCCCACCGCTCCCCAGAACGGCCCTGTTGCTCCCGGGCTGCCCCCTCCCAACGCTGCTCCGTTCCCCTCCAAACTGCCCCATGGACCCCAGAGCTGCCCCAGTGCCCCCCGGGCTGCCCCGTCACCCTCGGTTACCCCGCTAGTCTCCAAAACGGACCCATCTCCCCCCAGGTCTGCCCTGTTGCCCCCTGAGTTGCCCCACTGCCCCCCTCCAGTTGCCCCCCAAGGCCGCGGGCGGGAGCTGAGCGTGTCCCAGGCGGCTCCTTCCCACCCATCCCACTGCGGGTGATCCTGATTTTCCCGCCGCGCTCTCCTCGACTTCGCGGTATCAGCACGCAGTCGGAATGAGGCGGGGGAGCAATTCCCGGCTCCAAGGGGCCCTTCAGCCCTTTCTCGGGAGCAGGGAAGGAAGCTGGGGTCTCCAGGAGGGCCCTGCTGCAGTTCCTGCGCGCTGAGAGATGCCTTTTTTTTGTGCCGTGAAGGCAGGGCTGCCCGCTCAGCAGTGCGGCACAAAGCCAGGGAGGGAACAAAAACCACCATCACGCTCAAAAACCTGCAGCTGATCCCAAAAGCGCCTCCAAGGGCTGCCTGAAGCACTGCCGCGGGGCCAACCCCGTGCCAGGGAGCCCAGCGCCCGTCCCTGCCGCCGGCATCGCCAGCCGCCCTGGCATTGCGGGGCCTTTTTTGGGGATGCAAAGCAGAGGGAGGCGCCAGATGCCGYGAGAACAGGGCAGGGAACGACAGCGTGAGCGTTGAGAAGGCAACGGCAAAGGGGCCCGCGCGGGCCCGGCTGCTCCGCTGCCTTTGGCCAGGGTGCTGGAGATTGGGGCTGGCAGCCAGCGCTCCCGGGAGGCAGCACCCGAGCTCCCGTGCCCCCTCACAGGACAGGCCTGTGTGTCCCCCGTGTCCTTGCGGGAAGAGCTGGTGCAGGTGCCCATGCTCGGGGAGGACGTGGCACGGGGAGCTGCATTCACCCCATTTCCCAGACGAGAAATTTCCCCATTTCCCCGTGGGCTCTGGCCCTGCTGCCATCCGCCCGGCRCCGCCTCCGCCTGCCCGTCCTCGCGGAGGCACCGCGGGCCGCAGGATCGCTCCGCAGGGTCCTGCTCGCCCGGAGCAGCCTCGGCTCCCGCTGCCGTCTCTCCCGGTGCCAAAACGTCRCCAGCGCCTGCGGAGCTCGGAGACGCTGCCAGAGAGGGCAGCCGGGGAGGGACTTTCTGGGCCAGGTTACAGAGCTGCAGTTTGCAGGGGTGRTTTCACACCTGACGCCAGCGTCCGCCCCAGGCAACTTCCATTCCCCTCCCAGACGTATTCCCAGGAGTTTCATACTCCCAACGGAGATCTTCCCTTCTGCTGTTTGGTCTGAGCACAGCACCCTTGGAACGAAACCCTTCCTAACACGTCGCTGCTCAGCGCGGCGCCTCRACGTTGCCCCAACATGACTAATAGCTGCTGGTCCTTGGCCCTCTGCCTCAGCACCCAAGCGTGCCCAGCGTGGTGGCAGTCCGGGCACATCCCATGGCAGAAGCGCTGGCGCCCAGGGCACCTCGGGCAGATCTGGCTTCTGGCTGCTCCTTCCTTGAAGCCCCAGGGACCCAGCTCTGTGACGGCTGTGGGYGCCGCTTGCCCTGTGCTCTGCAGACCTGCATTTACCCTGCAAAGGGAAAACCCGACAGGCCTCCTAGCCGAACCGCGAGCCCTGTTTTATTCACACAGCACAGAACACATCACGAGCTCGTTCAAATCCTGGCAGAGAACACGGGCATGAAACACATTCCCCTGCCTCGAATCGCCGCAGCAAAAACWGCATTAGCACCATGCAGGCGAGCCGGCAAAGGCTGCTCCGACCGAGCCCTGCACCAGCCGTCCCCGCTCTGCCAGCAGCGCCGAGGAGGCGAGAGGACGAGCTCCTCGTCGGCCAGCCCGCGATCGCCTCTCCTGTTTCCTGGGGTTCCTGGATGTCGGCGAGCGAGGACGCCCGCGGCTCAGCCCTCCCCGCACGTCTCGAAATACTGGCACATGAGCTCGCGCACTTGCTCGGCCCGGCCGTCCTCCATGGAGGCGGGCGCGGGCTGGCACGGCTTGGGCAGCTCGCTGGGCTCCGTGCCCTCCAGCCACTCCTCGTTGAAGGGGTTGTCGTGGGCCTCGCACACGTTGTGCAGGATGCAGCAGGCGAGCACGAGCGTGGGCAGCAGCTCCAGGCTGCAGTCGTCGCACTTGAGCAGGACCTGCCAGCGAGCCTTGAGGCGCAGGAAGGCGTTCTCGATGACGCTGTGCGCGCGCCGCAGGCGGTAGTTGAACTGCAGCTGCCGCTGCGTGAGGTTGTCGTCCTCCTGGTAGGGCTTGAGGATCCAGTCCTGCAAGGGGTAGGTGGCGTCGCCCAGCAGCACGTACTTCTGCGCCTTCCCCATGAAAGTCTTGGGCGGGTTGGGGCACAGCCGGCCCTCCTTGGCCAGCACCCAGAGGCTGGAGCTCTCCAGCACGGCGCTGTTCTCCATGCTGCCGGGGAAGGCGGTGGAGACGTCCCAGAACTGCCCCAGGCCGTCGACGGCGGCCTGCGTGAGCATGGAGTGCCAGCCCTGGCCGTTGCAGTAGTCGGCGCTGAGGCGCAGCGGCGGGTGGATGGGGATGTGCAGGCTGTCGAGGGCGCCGATGCAGTGCGGGAAGCCCCAGCGCGTGCGGAACACGCGCACCATGTTGTCGAGCTCCTTCTCGCCGGGCAGCCGCAGGTAGAGCGGCTTCAGCAGCAGCACCACGGCGTAGCTCACCTCGCGCACGCACGCCTGCACCGTGGCGGGCCCCACGCCCAGCAGCGGGCCCACGGTCTGATACTCCACGTTGGTGGCCAGGTGCCACAGGGCCACGGCCACCCGCTTCTCCAGGGGCAGCGCCGCGTGGAAGTGGGCGCCGTGGGGCGCCAGCCCCGGCCGCAGCCGGTTGCACACGTAGAAAAAGGTCTCCTTGGACATGCGGAACTTCTCCAGCCAGTCCTGCGGCCCAAATTCCTTCAGGACCACGCGTTCCCACCAGTCGGCGCTCCGGAGGCTGGGCCACGCRCGGGGGTAGAAATAGCAGCTGGTCCTTCTGCGGCGAGCGATGAGGAGCTGCGGCCGACGGGGGGATGAGACGGGTGTGAGGTGGCCCCCAGTCACCCCCGTTCCCCCAGCAAGGGGCACCTGCGGGAGCCCCCAGCGCCACCCAACCAGCCAAAGCCCCATCCCTCCATGCACGTGCCCCACGTCCTTCCTGTGCCCTGTCCTCGTGTCCCCGCGTCCCCGTCCTTTGTTTCCTTCTGTCCTTCATGTCCCTCCGCATCCACCCTGTCACCTCCCTTTCAGGCTGCCCACATCCTTCACATCTCCCCATCCATCATGGTCCCGTGGCCCTCGGTCCTTGTGTTCCCTATGTCCTTTGTAACCCCCGACCCTTTGTGTCTGTGTCTTTCCTGTCCCCCATCTCCCCTSTCCTTTATGTCCCCCTGTATCCCCGTATCTTTCCCATCCTGAAGGACCAGGGYGCCCATGTCCCCCCATGCCCCACACCCATCCCATTCTTTGTGYCTCCCTCTGTCCCCAGATCTTTCCACCATGTCCCTGTATGTCTGTGTTCCCCATCCTCTGTCTCCTTGTCCCCTGCCATGTCCTTTTGTGTTGCCACAATCCCCATGCCCTTCGTGTCCCCTCAGCCTCCCCTGTCCCCATCTCTCCATATCCTTAGCTTTGCTCCACATCCCAAGTCCTTCCCGTCCCCACTGTGCCCCTACATCTTTTGTGTCCTTCCTGTCCCCACACTCCATCCTTTGCCACCCATGTCCCTCCACCCTTCACCAGCCCCCACCATGTCCCTTGTAACCCRCCATGTCCCCATGTCCTCTGTGCCCCCGTGTCCGCCACGACCCCCACCCTGTCCCCATATCCTCTGTGTGTCCCCACTACATCCCTGTCCTCACCATCCCCATGTCCCCATATCCTTTGTCCCCAACGTGTCCCTCTGTCCTTCGCCACCCCATGTCCCCACAT